TTCAATGCGGGCGCCTAGGGTCAGCAAAGCCCCTTTGAAGGGCCTCCACCTGACCACAGCCCTTGCCGCCCACCTTTCCTTCCGCCCCTCCCCCCACCCCACGGTGGCGCCTGGCGGTGGCTGTTCAAAGGCTGCCACGAATCGCAGTTCGAAAGCGCAAGCGAAGCGGATCATAAAATCCACCGACCCCTTGGTGTTCATCGACGTGTGGATGCTTCCCCCTCCCCAAACCCCTCCCCTGGTAGCCGGGCTCGATCGATTTGGAAGGGGGGGTCTACCTGGGCCGCGGGGGGGGGGGTTGCTCCAGAAATTCAAAACGGGCCAAGAGGGCGCCAAGAGACCTCAAAGACGGTCCAAGAGGGCCCCGAGTCGCTGAAGCATCGTCCCAAGACGCCCATGATGGCCTCCAGACGGCCCAAGATGCCTCCAAGACGCCCCCAGAGGCTTCGAAGAGGCCTTCCAAGAGGGCTCCAAGAGGCCAGGATCGTTGATGTTCATTGTTTTTGTTAATGGTTTTTGGCGTTCTCGCCTTGTCGAGCTTCCGACGCTCGAAGACGGCCCCAGAGGCCCCCAAGAAGGCCACAAGACGGCCCAAGAGGGCCCCAAGACAGCCCAGGAGGGCCGCAAGACAGCCCAAAAGGGCCCCAAGAGGATCTCAAGAGGACCCCAAGAGGGGGACCGCGAACCGAAAATTCTAGCTGTCCGCCCCAAGAAGCCCCCGGGAGGCCCCAAAAAGCCCCCAAGGGGCCCCCACGAAGCCCAAAAGAGGCCCCAAGAGGCCCCAAAACAGCCCCCCCCCAGAGGCCTTCGAACTGCCTCGGGCAGGCCGCTGGGAGGCTTCTCACGAGATCCCAACGGACATCCAGGAGGCATCTGAACCACAAGCCAGGCACGGTGGAAGGATGGGCCGAATGCCACTAGATCCGTCGCCCCCTGTCGATTCATCGCAGGGGTGCCTGGCGTGCTAGACCCTCTCGGTTTTGGTTTTGGTTCTTTTTCCAAAAAGAACTCTCCCCCTGGGCCTTCGGCACGTCCCGCCGGGGTCCCGGGAGGCTCTTCGGGAGGTGGTTGCCGTGGGTTTTCCTGCCCCAGACGGCTCCAAGATGGCCTCCAAGATGCTTCCAAGACGGCCAAGACGGCCTCCAAGACGGCTAAGATGGCCCCAAGATGCCTCCAAGACGGCCCAAGATGCACCCAAAACGGCCTAAGATGGCCTCAAGCTGGCCCAAGACGGCCCAAGAGGCCCCGAAGAGGCCTCCAAGATGGCCCAAGAGGCCTCGAAGAGGTCCTCCAGGAAGGCCCGAAGAGGCCAAAATCATTGATTGTCCTTATGTTTTTGGTGGGTTTTGGTATTTGCGCCTGTTCGGCTGTCCGACGGCCCAAGACAGCCCAAGAGGCCCCCAACGGCCCCAAGATCGCCCAAGAGGCCTCCAAGATGGCCCCATGACGGCCCAAGAGGCCCCCAAGACTGCCCAAGACGGGCCAAGAGGCCTTCAAGACGCCCAAGGTGGCCTCCAAGACGGCCCCGAAGCGCCCCAAGAGGGCCCCAAGTCGGCCCAGAGAGGCCCCAAAGACGGCTCCCGACGGCGTCAGACGTGCCAGGCCTGCCGACGGCCCGAGACGGCCCAAGAGCCCCCAAAGATCGCCCAAAGATCGCCCAAGAGGCCTCCAAAATGGCCCCAGAACAGCCCAAGAGGCCCCAAAGACTGTCCAGGAGGCCTTTAAGACGCCCAAGATGGCCTCCAAGACGGCTCTGGAGCATTCCAAGAGGGCCCCAAGTCGGCCCAGAGAGACCCCCCAAAGAGCTTCCGACGGCGTCAGACGGGCCAGGAGCCCACCAAGACGGCCGAAGATGGCCTTGGCCCAAGAGGCCTCCAAGAGGGACTCCAGAAGGCCCGAAAAGGCCAAAATCATTGATTTCCTACAAATGTTTTCAAAGAGTGTGGCATTTGCTTTTTTGTTGGCCTTCCGACGGCCCGAGACGGCCCAAGTGCCCCCAAAGATCGCCCAAGGCGGCTCCAAGAGGCCCCCAAGACGGCCCAAGAGGCCTCCAAGACGCTCAAGATGGCCTCCAAGACGCAAGAGCCCTCCAAGACGTCCTCCAAGAAGGCCCGAAAGGGTCAAAATGGCCTCCAGACGGCCAAGATGACCTTCAAGATGCCCACGTGTTCCCCGAAGGTATTCCAAACCGATACGGGGAACATCAGGTCCGACACCTTGGCAGGTCTGGCCTCAACGTTCGGCCACATAGGCGCTTCCAAAAAGGCAGGGGGCGGCGGTGATTCGCCGTAGGCGTCTTCGATCCGCCGCCCCCTGTAGATTCATCGCAGGGGTGCATGGCGTGCTGGACTTCTTACGGTTTGGTTTTGGCTCTTTTTCCAAAAAGAACTCCCCCTGGCGCTTCGGCCTGTCCCGCCAGGGTCCCGGGAGGGAGCTCCAGGCGCGCAAACGACCTCAACGTCCACAAAAAGCTCTCCAAGACGGCTCAAGATGACCTCCAAGATGGCCACGTTGGCCCAAGATGGCCTCCAAGATGGTCCAAGATGGCCTCCAAGTCCGCCCAATATGGTCCAAGACGGCCTCCCAGACGGCCCAAGAGAGTCCGAAGACGGCCCAAGAGGCCCCCCAGAGGCCTCCAAGACGGCCCAAGCGGCCTCCAACAGGAGGGTCCGAAGAGGCCAACAGGAGGCTCCAAGGTCCTACAGGAGGGTCCGAAGAGGCCAACATCATTGATGTTCCTTAGGTGTTTGAAGGATTTTCGCATTCGCTTCTCCTCGGCTTTCCGACGACCCAAGACGGCCCAACAGGCCTCCGAGTTCGCCCCCACAGCGCCCAAGAGGCCTCCAAGATGGCCTCAGGACTGCACAAGAGGCCCCCAAGACGGCCCCAAGAGGGCCGTAGGCGTCTTCGATCCGCCGCCCCCTTTTGATTTATCGAAGGGGTGCCTGGCGTGTCGGATAAGAGGGCTTTTGGTTTTGGTTCTTTTTCCAAAAAGAACTCCCCCAAGGGCTTCGGCCCGTCCCGCCGGGGCCGCGGAAGGCGCTCAATTCCTCAACAAATCCTCCAAGACGGCTCAAGATGGCCTCCAAGATGGCCACGTCGGCTCAAGATGGCCTCCAAGATGGTCCAAGACGGCCTCCAAGACGGCCCAAGAGGCCCCCAGGAGGCCTCCAAGACGGTCCAAGAGACCTCCAACAGGTCCTCCAGGAGGGCTCGAAGAGGCCAAAATCATTGATTTCCCTTATGTTTTTTAAGGAGTGTCGCATCCGCTGCTTCTCGGCCTTCCGACGACCCAAGACGGCCCAAGAGGCCCCCAAAATCGCCCAAGAGGCCCCCAAGAGGGCCCCATGACGGCCCAAGTGGCCTCCAAGACGGCCCCAAGAGGGCCCCAAGACGGCCCGAGAGGCCTCCACCACGCCCAAGAAGGCCTCCAGGATGGCCTCCAAGACGGCCCCGAAGCGCCCCAAGAGGGCCCCAAGTCGGCCCAGAAAGGCCCCCAAGACGGCTCCCGACGGCGTCAGACGTGCCAGCACGCCACCAAGATGACCGAAGTTGGCTCGAGGCTGGCCCAGGACGGCCCAAGAGGCCTTCAAGAGGGCCTCCAGGAAGGCCCGAAGAGGCCAAAACCATTGATGCTCCTAAGGTGCTTGCGGATTTTGACATTTGCTTCTTTTCGGCCTTCCGACGGCCCGAGACGGCCCAAGAACCCCCAAAGATCGCCCAAAGATCGCCCAAGAGGCCTCCAAGATGGCCCCAGAACTGCCCAAGAGGCCACCAAGACGGCCCCAAGAGGCTCCCAAGACGGCCCAGGAGGCCTTCAAGACGCCCAAGACGGCCTCCAAGACGGCCCTGGAGCATTCCAAGAGAGCCCCAAATCGGCACATAGAGGCCCCCCAAACGGCTTCCAACGGCGTCAGACGGACCAGGAGCCCACCAAGACGGCCGAACATGGCCCGAAGATGGCCCAAGACGGCCCAAGAGGCCTCCAAGAGGGCCTCCAGGAAAGCCCGAAAAGGCCCAAATCATTGATGTCCCATGAATGTTTGAAGGATTGTGGCATTTGCTTTTTTTGTTTCGGCCTTCCGACGGCCCGAGACGGCCCCAAAAGATCGCCCAAGAGGCCCAAGACGGCCCCAAGAGGCCCCCACGACGGCCGAAGAGGCCTCCAAGACGCTCAAGATGGCCTCCAAGACGGCCCAAGAGCCCTCCAAGACGTCCTCCAAGAAGGCCCGAAAGGGTCAAAATGGCCTCCAGACGGCCAAGATGACCTTCAAGATGCCCACGTGTTCCCCGAAGGCTTTCCAAACCGATTCGGGGAACACATGGTCCGAGAGCTTTGCAGGTCTGGCCTCAACGTTCAGCCACATAGGCGCTTCCACAAAGGCAGGGGGCGGCGGTGATTCGCCGTAGGCGTCTTCGATAGAAATACAAGCATAAGTCACGCAGCACCCAGAAGCCGCAGCAGCGACTCTCCCCCTAGAGGTCAGCGGTGCGGCGTGCACCCTCAAGAGAAAGATGTTGTGACGAGGCGACCCGCAGTGAGGACCTCGACATCGACGTGGTTTCGACCGCCCCCGCCCCCGCCACCGCATTTATCGTCGCTCCATCTTCATCTTCGCCTCCATCCCGCTGCCCGCCCTCCGAGGCGCCCTCCCTCCGCCCCCGACACTGATGCTCACGCGCTCGTTGGAGACAAGGCCTCGGCACGGACCTCTTGCACCGATTCTGACCAACTGCTGCCCACCTCTCTGGAGAGCGCCGCCCCAATCTGCGTCGGCAACACGCAAGAGTGACTCTGGGCGGCAAGAGGCAAGAGGTGGCCGTTCGTGCTGTTCTTCAGGGGGCCGCGGGGTGTGTGCAGACATCCGAGCGCGCACGCAAGTGCTGTAGGGGCCCCTGTGGGGCCCGCACCAAGGTCACTCCGGCAGGGTCACTCTTACGCGTAGGCGACAGCGTGACTGCCGCTCGGCTTGGTCCCCGCCCCGTCGCCAGCCTCTTCCTCAGGAAGTACACCCCGACGCCGAACAGAGCCCACGCCACCGCGGAGCCGAGCAGGAGGGGCACAACCTTCTTTCGGTAGACGTAGAGCAGCACCTTCGGCAGGGCCGCCAGGGACCCCCCGCCCGCCTCGGGACAGGCCCGCCGCGTCCATCCGAGCCTGGCTGACGTGTGCGGTGCGTCCTGCCGCTTCGAGGTGCGAGATGTCGACGGCGGACGTCACTCACCCTCTGACCCACACCACCCTGCAAGGGCGTGCGTCCCCCACGCCCTCCTCGTTACAGCAGGCCCCGACCTCCTGGCTACAGCCTCCCTCGCCTGGACTTCCCGACTGCCCCTCCGTCGCTCCACCTTTGCGTCGCACCTGCCTCCACACCTCACTCGCCCCTCCATGCACCTACGATCCGAACGTCAACCCACATCTGGCTCTAGCTCCAATTCTCCTGTCGCCTTGGTAGAATTACCTTCCGGTCACATGCTCATCCTTGGTATGCTCAATACGTGTAAACATATCAGCAGCTGTTCATCCCTCCTCTCCTTTTCCTTATGTTCCTCATTATTCGCCGCCTCCTCCTCCTCCTCCTCCTCCTCCTCATCATCATCATCATCATCGTCGTCGTCGTCGTCTTCATCATCATCATCGTCATCATCGTCAGCATCACCACCATCATCATCATCATCATCATCATCATCATCATCATCATCACCACCACCATCATCATCATCATCATCAGCAGCATCAGCATCAGCATCAGCATCATCATCAGCACCATCAGCATAATCATCAGCATAAGCATCATTATCATCATCAACATGAGCATCACCACCATCATCCTCATACTCATCCTCATCCTCATCTTCAGTATCAACATCATCATCGTCATCATCATCGTCATCAAAATCGTCATCATCATTATCATGATCATGATCATGCTCATCATCATCATCATCATCATCATCATCATCATCATCATCATCATCATCATCATCATCACCACCACCATCATCATCATCATATCCTCAACCTCATCCTTATCCTCATCCTCGTCCTCCCCCCTCCCCGCCCGCCAACTCTCGGCTTCAGCCTCAATCTGCGCCGCTTGTCCTTGCCGCTTTCCTCCCCTGCCCTCCCCCAAAGCCTGCCTGACCCTCCCTCTTCCCTCCCTCTCCCGCCTCATCGTGCACCTGCTATGTCTCTGTCTCTCTCTCTGGACGCGAGCCTCACACCCCGCTGTGCTGCGCCAGGCATGTGCCCCCGACTCCCTGATTGCCCCTTTCGTGACGCGCGGCCTCCATGTGGGCCTCAGCCTGCACCTCAACTTCACCCTCGACCTCTGCCCCTGCCTCTGCTTTCGCGTCTGCCCCTGCCTCTGCGATCCTTACCCATCTGTCGGAAGAAGCAGCTAGAAACATGAAGTGTGACGGCGTTGAAAGTAGATTGGGTTCCGTCCGCCCACTAAGGGGGACGGGAAAAGGTGAAGCCACTCGATCATCGAAGCAGGAAGGCGCCTAAAGTAGGTTGGAATCTGGGAATCCAAAAAATACCTGCTTTCAACGACCGATGGGTAACTGGCCCGCGGGCGCACCAGCCAGACCAGCGCGGCTGCCAGCGAGGCTACCAGGATCCGCCGCACCCGCCCCGAGGGGGCGAGTGCCCCCCCCCCATCGCGGCTCGCCCCTGACGCGCCAGGGGCGGCGACCACGAGCCAGCACGACGACGACGACGACGAGCCACGACGACGACGACGACGACGACGAGCCACGACGAGGAGCAAGCACCACGACGAGCCACGACGAGGAGCAAGGACGACGAAGAGGACGACGAGCGGGGAGAGGAGGGGGGGGGACCTGGGAGGAGGGTGGAGGAGGACGAGGACGAAGACGAGGAGGAGAAGGAAGAGGAAACAGAGGAGAAGGAGGAGGCCGACGACGGAACGACAGGGGCCCCGAGGAAAACCAAGACGAGGCGACCCTCCCGGGACACCCCCCCGCCCCCCACTTCCGGCCTTGCGCTCGCCGATGTCGCTCCACCCTCCGGGGAAAAAACAATAACTTCAATGGAGGTCTGGTGTCATCGTGTTCGGTACGTTTTGTCCCGCGCCTCGTCTCGCTCCCGCTGGGTCCCGCCCAACTACCAATCCCTCTCCTACAACCCCGTCACATTATCCCTTCTTCCTGCCCCGTGCCCGCCCCCCTCTCACGGCAAAGGGGGGGATAGAATACGGTTGTTTCGATCACATGTACGGCCACCGTTCATATGAGAAGGAGGTTGTATGGTGGGGCAGTTGAACACAACTGCAGTGGCTGTGATGGTGACGATGGTGGCGACGATTTGGCCACGATACATCATGAAGACGCTGGCGACAATTCGTGACGGCGATGTTTGGCGACGGTGTTGGTGACGAGGATTGTGGTGGTAGCGACACATGGCGGTGACTCAGGCGATGGGCGGGGCATCGAAAACGGGCAGCGCGCAACGGTAGCAGCGCATCAAGAAACTTTGGCTGGCAGAACCCAGCCAACGAATCGACACACCCGCGATGGCGCACTCACACCGGTGATTACGGGGCCACCGCAGTCGCAAGCAAGTGCATGTCACCTTCATTGCTGGAGGGGGCATGGATTTGCCAGCGACCCCTGTGGCGCGCCACGTGGTCAGAACATTTTCGCTAAACGGAGAGCGGCCCCTTTGGCGAAGTCTCACTACCAACCACTCTGGCCACCCACCTCATACCCGATGTCATACTTGACCGACCTCGCGAGCGATCGGTCCCACAATCGATGCCACTAGCTATCTCACCCGCGATCTTAGACTCCAGCGGCTGGGTTGTTCATCAGAACTCGCCCAGTATCGGCGTCAAAACCCGTCGGCCCAATCACCTGTCGGCCTTACTACCGACGTCACAAACGATATCATTATCGAGGTCACTATGTGTCTCACGGCCGATGGGCATCACTATCCGTCGACCTCACGATCTTTCGATCTCACCATCCATTGAGCCCACACCTATGCAGAAGTCATTACACCCACGCCGTCGATTGCGCCACCGCCGCCATCGAGTGCAAATGAGTACCACATCCACTGGAAGAGGTCGAGTCGAATCGATTCGCGCCCTGGCCAATGAAACGTGCCCCTAGATGAAGGGGAGGGCGGCGAGCTGCTAGCAGACAGGCAAGCCCGCCAAAACCAGCGTGGCAATAATAATAGGTGCCAGCAATTATGGATTCTGCCTGTCCTCACTGCAATGTGACGGAAGATGCCATGTTACTTCAGAGTTCAGCAAATAATGATTACGGTTCATTGCCAAACTTCGCCGCGGACTTCAACGAAACCGTCGCTTAATATCCCGCTGGCCAACCGACGCGGTCTCTCCAGCTCTGAATGTTCCCGGGGCTCCACAATAATACTCTACGTGGCCACTTGCGCAAAGCAATTCAAAACGCATGCCTGCTGCGCCGTGCACTGTGCGATCCAACAGTGTCGTCGATGCTTCGCGCTGTACTTTGCAGCCAACTTGAACATGACTCCATTTCCTCCTCCACGGCCAGCTCGCCCGCCCCGAAATGCGCCAGTGCTCGCTTTCGGCGCGACCCAACGACAAGTCTCAAATTAGTCGCCGAGTTTTCAACAACCCCCGCTCCATGTCGGTCGTCTGCGCCCAGCGCGCTGCGCCATATAGCGCGCGCGGGACGACCACTGGACCCGCGTATCTGGTCGCCTTGTCGCGCTTGAGAATCTAGACCGACGGCGATGCGGCGTAAATGTTGTCGCGCGCTGACTATCCGCGTCATGCCCGTGAAGATAACGCGACGGCGCCATTGTTTTTGTTGGGTCGACACTGCGTCCCGAATTTTTTGCGCGCCGCAACAACATCTGCCGACACGTGCTCGAATAGTGGAATTGAAGTGCTCACCGACAACACGTGCGCCATCGGTCTGCAGCTGGGCCGTCGGTCAGGCCGCGGCCATCTCTAAATTGGCCGTGCTGCGCCAAGCCGCCGCGCCAGGGCTCCTGACAGCCAAGTGGGAATTGATTTTCGTTTGTCATGGCGGTCTCCATAGCAGAGCCCGAGGGAGGCACCCCAGGCTGCGCGCAGTGCTCGCCATGCGCGAGAATGTGAGCGTCACTGGGCAGGCATGCCTTCAAAAAGGTCGCGCGCATCTGCCCCCGCTCGCACGCGTTGCGCGCGGGCGTGCAATTCCCAGACGGGATCATGCTCGCGCCGCCGTTCATCCCCAAATCGGCTGTCTCCGCTTCGACCTGGTGGGCCATGACCTCGAGCTCCCGGCGCATATTCCGCCTCTCGCCAGCGGGGCCAGGGTCAAGTTCGTCGCGGCGGATATCTGCTGCACTTGCATGCGCCACGTGCTTGCGCAGGGGCCCCGGCAAGCTATCGAGGCGCGCCTTGCGAGCGCGGGGGAATGTCCGCTGCGTGCCAGGGACAGCGGCCCGGAGCGCGATGTCCAACTGCGAAACTGGGCGCGTCACATGAGCCGCCCGTCGCGCCGCGGCATCGCGCGCCGGCGTCGCTCCTCGAAACGAAGCGCGCGGCGCAATCCGCGCCTGTCGCCGCGGTAGTCGCCGGCCCCGAGCGGGGGCAACTTCGGGAAGGCGCTGGCTGTCGCTATGGGCAGGCGATTGTCTGCCCTGGCAGGCGCCCCCCGCGCCGGGCGGGCCCGCGCGGCGCGGGCGCCTCGCCTTCCGCTCGCGGAGCGGCGACGTCTCGCGGGCAGGAAGGCCCGCGCCCGGGCGCGGACGGGCAGCTCGAGCCCGGCGCCTCGCTGGGCCCCTCGGCCACCTTGGCGACAACGGCCCCCGCGAGGGAATCCAGCGCGGCCTCGCGCGCGCCCGCGCCGCCCCCAGCCTCGGCCGACGCGGCAGCGATGGCGCGCGCGACTTCTGGGCCCAAGTCCACCCGGCAGTCGCGTGCGTCGAGGGGGCGGAGGGCGCGCAACAACCGGGCCCCCGCCCGGGGGGGGGGGGGGCGCCGCGGCCAGAAGACACTCTGCAAGAATGCGCCGGGTGCCGAAACTGCGCCCAGCAATCGGATCTGCGGCGCCGTCGACTTCCCCGCCGGGGAGCGCCCCGCGCAGCCGCTTGCCCGGTGCGCCCCCGACTCCGCCCGCCACGGCCTCTGCTCCAGCGCGGGCCGTCCGCCGTTCGAAACGCGCCAGAACGACCGCGTGCAGATAACTGCGACGACTCGCCTCCCAGGCAGCGCCCGCCTGCGCGTCGTCGGCGGCCCGCGCGGCGGCGGCGTCGCCGCGCCGCCCCGCGCCCCGCGCCCGCGCGGCGCGGGTTGTGCGCCTTGAGTCAGAGGAAGGCGGCCATGGGTTTCAGCGCGCCCACTTGGAACGCAGAGTGGCCGCGGGGCCCCCCCCGCTTCCGAAGGCGAACGTGCCCCGCGGGCGCGTCAGCAGGCCTGGGCGGCAAGCTCATGCAGAACGACCATATGGCGGAAGTTGCAAATGCGACTGGCGCGCGCCAACTGCCCCGCGCGAGAAATGCCGTGCACCTGGACCAGCGGGCGCGCCCAGCCGAACACCACTTCCTCGTGGCTCGCGGGCGCGGCAACCGGCGCGAACTCCTCCTCGCTGGGCCCCAGCACTCTGAAAGCGCGCCCTCGCTGGCAGAGCTTGCAGCGGGCCGCCTTCGGAGCGCTGGCACGCGATCCCGGGGGGACCGGGCCTCGCGGAGCTCCGAATCGGGTCCGCGACGCAGTCGCGCGCTCCAGCGAGGGCCGGGGGAGCGGCCGCCACCGCGCGCCGCGCGCTTCAGCCGCCGCAAACCAGCAGGACCCGCTTCCTCTCCGGGCGATGGGCCGGGCAGACGATGAAATCGCGCTCTGCTAAGTAGCCGCGCGCTTCCTCCTCCGACGCCGCTGCCTCGAGGCGCCGCTTGTTCGCTGCGCCTTCCTCGCGGAACCTCGCGATGGCGCCCGAAGGCGGGTCCAGCCGCGGGGCCCCCGGCGATTGGCGGCTGCGCCGCGCGCGCGCGCGAGGAATCGTCCCCAGCGGGCAAATCGTTCCTGCTGCGCCAGCGCAGGTAGCGCACTGCACCTCTTCCAGGCAGCTGCGCACCGGAGGCGCGAACCTTCGAGCTGGCCCCTGGTCGCGTAAAGAAGGCGGCAAATTGCTCGGGCCGCCGCGCTGGCGAAGGTTGGCCGACTGCTCCGCCGCCCGCCTGCTCAAGACGTTAACGCAGCCCGCCCTGGCGCTGCTCGGAATCGCCGGCCTCGCTGCGCCCCCGGCCTTCAGCTCGCTCTATCGCCCGCCAGCCCCCCCCGCGCATCTATCTTTTTACACTTCCGTTTTCGAGCTGTCTCGCGAGCCTCGTGCCGAACGTCGCCGCGGTCGATGTCGCGCCGCTTCTCGCTCGCCCTGCCGCCCGCGCGCCGAGCTGCCCTTGCGCGCGAGATCCGTCGCGCCGCTTGTGGCCCTTCCGCTGCCACAGCGGTTTGCAGGCAATCCTGCGACGCGCGGGCGCGCCCGTTGGGCCCGGCGGCCCCGCGCCTCGCCGTGGCCCACTGGGCCGAGGCCCCCTCGCGAGGGCACGCCCGGCGCGAAGAGCCAACCCCGCGAGCGTTCCCTGGCCTTGGAAAGCACGCCGGCGCG